GCACCACCATGCCTGGCTAGTTTTTGATTTATTGTAGAGATGAGGTCTCGCCAAGTTGCCCAGGCTGGTCTTGAACACGTGGGCTCAGGCAATCATCTCGCTTCTGCCTCCCAAAGTGCTGGGATTACAGGCATGAGCCACCATACCCAGCTCAGTAAAAATTCTAATGCGACAGAAAAAGGGTAGAGTGGCTATGGAAGAACATTTGCAGACTCTGCCACAGTAGCGTTACTTATGCTTCATAACAAACCAGTGAAGTATTATTGTCCCTATTTATTGATGAATAAATTGAGGTTCAGAGAGGTGAGGCCACATGTTAGAGGGTAAGGACTGGTAAGCTAGGACTAGAATCCTGCTTGACCTTCCATATTTTATCCCTTGGTTCTATCCTTATGTCTGACTTACCATGTTCTTTCCCTTATGTTCTGTCCTCATGTCTGACCTGTCTACCTATCCCTTGGTTCCAAGTTACCCATGGAAGTGTGCCTAATTCAATCAGGACTGAGCAGAATTTGAAGAGAGCACACAGACAACTGGAGAGCAGCAATCACACGATCAAGAAGACAAGAGGGAGCTGAGGCCTGGGAAGGAGTTCACTGGGGGCTCTTGGAATGGAAGAACAGGCAGCTCTTGAGCCTAGGAGTTCAAGACCAACTGGGGCAATGCAGCAAGATCTCGTCTCTACAAAAAAAAAAAAAATGTATGAAGGAACTTCCAGAATCTTGTTTTGTCGGGTGTAGCAGTGTCTCCACAAGAGCCATGGTATCATTACCCAGTGACAACAGGAGAGATTTTGGGTTTAGGATTGCCCACAAAGCCAGCACGTTAAAAACAATATGTATGAGCCGTGCTTGGTGGCTCAGCCTGTAATCCCGTGCCTTGGGAGGCCTCGGTGAGTGGATTGCCTGAGCCCGCGGGTTCGAGACCCGCCTGGGCAGCGAGACCTCATCTCTACAATAAATCAAAAAATCAGCCGGGCGTGGTAGCGCATGCCTGTAATTCCGGCTACTCGGAAGGCTGAGGCAGAAGGATCGCCGGAGCCCAGCGGGTCGAGGCTCCGGTGGCCGGGAGCGGCCACTGCACTCCAGTCTGGGCGACCGAGTGAGACTCCAACTAAAAAAAAAAAACCCCAAAAAAATGATATGCATGGAAGCCCACGGCCGTCTCTCAGCCCAGTCAGCCAGGTGCTGAGGCAATCAGAGGCCAGGCTGCTGTTACTGGACCTGCGGCCAAGCAGGCCTGCTGGGTCTCCATCACACTCGTCACCTCACATGTGCCGGAAGGAAAGGCCAGCTCGTTTTGTCTACCTGTGCTGGGGCAGGAGTTCTGTAAGGTCCTCATAACCACAGAAATGCCACTTGAAGTGTGTAAATGTAGATGGACCCTGTCTTATTCAATCCCAGATCCAATGGCAGTTTTGTTGCAACAAGTGATGGTCAATGACCTCTCAAGTGTGTTTTGGCCTTGATCAAAATGGCAGCCTTTTTGCAAATGTTCAGTGTACTTCTTTTTAAAATTTGAAATGGGAGGCAGTAATACTGGCTGAGCATGTGTAATGTGGAGAGCAGGCAGCTCTCAGTGAATGTCCAGGCTGCAGCAGCATGTCTGGTGACAAAGGCTGTTTGACAGTGGCCATGATCCTTTTCATTTAGCCAAGATGTAGACTAAGCTGCTGTAATAAAGGGACCCTCAAATACAGAGTCTCAGACAAAGTTGGAGGTTTATTTCTCTCTGATGAAGTGGCTCAGAATTTTGCGGGCAGTTGAGCAGGTAGGAACTCCATCCTGCAGGTCATCAGGGAGTCAGGTTTATCCTATCTTGACATTCCTCCACTGGCAGATTTCAGTAAGATGCTTTTGGCCTGCAGATTCCAAAAAACTCAAAGTGGCTCATCCAGTCATGGGATTTGTTATTTAATCTCAAGTGATTTCTAGATAGATTACAGGCTTGGTTAATTAATTATTTCTTTTATTTTTGGTTTATTTTTCTTCATTCCTATTTTTTAAGATAGAGGTCTCACTGTGTTACCCAGGCTCGTTTTCAGCTCACGAGCTCAAGCAATACTCCCACCTTGGCATCTCGAGTAGCTGGGATTACAGGTTTGTGCAATTATGCCTGGCTAATATTGGTTAATTTAACGGCTCTACAGTTTTATCAAGGAACAGGTTTCCTCCACTTTCCCCTCTACCATTTCCAGTATGTTCTCTTTGGCTAACTCCCCTCACAGTTCCACTATTCCAGGAATCCTATGCAGATATGACAGTGTCTACTAGCAGATGAAGGGACTTTTTCTGCAATGCTTTTTTTCACTTTGTTAAACATTTTTTTTTTTTTTTTTTTACCAGGTGCTGTGGCTCTTGCCTGTAATCTCAGTACTTTGGGAGGCTGAGGCAAGGGGATTGCTTAAGCCTAGGAGTTCAAGACCAGCTGGGGCAACATAGTAAGACTTCATCTCTACACAAAAATAATAATTAAAAAAACCTAGTTGGGCATGGTGGCTCACACCTGTAGTCTCTGCTATTTGGGAGGCTGAGGTGGAAGGATCACCTGAGCCCAGGGGGTTAAGGCTGAGGTGAGCTGTGATTGTGCCACTGTACTCCAGCCTGGGTGACAGAGTGAGACCCAGATTTTAAAAAAAAGGTTTTGTGTTTTTTTGGTAGAGATGGGGATCTCACTCTGTTGCCCAGGCTGGTTTCCAACTCCTGGCCTCAAGCAGTTCTCTTGTCTCAGCCTCCCAAATTGTTGGGATTACAGAAGTGAGTCACTGTGCCCAGTCTAATATTTTTTTTCTTAAAGTGTGATGAAAACATTTCCTGGGCCATTGCCTTGCTAGAGTCTGGTGTGCTCTTTGAGCTATGGCTGTTGCCCTGCTTCCTGACTTTGGTCCCCTCCCCCACCTTGGAGAGGTGAATCTTCTCTCTCTCTCTAATTTACTTTAAAAAAAACTTTTATTTCTTAAAGACAAAAAAAAAAAAAAAAAGAAAGAAAAGAAAACATTTCCTAAAAGGCTCTGAGGAGATTTATCATTTTGTCTCCTTGGCCAGACTTTCATTATGTGTCTATGACTAGACCTTTATCTGGTAAGGAAAATGAGACCACCTAGCTCTGATCAGCCACGATTACTGGAACTGTGACTCAGGCTGGGCCTAGAACCTGCCTTCTCTAAGGGAAATGCATACATGGACAAGATCGGGGTCTAATAGGGGATTGAAGGGCAGGAATGGCTGATGGGTGAAAGAGCACCCAGGTCTCATGTATTGCCACACCTTCTGTTTTTAGTGGTTTCCTGGTACAGAGCTTCTGAGGAGTGCTGTGGTACAGTGCTATTTGCTCTGCAAATAGGGGTGCTCAAACAGTGATTCCCTCAGCTCTAGGTGGCCAGGCAGGGTCTGGATAGTACTTGGGCTGATGGCTTTTCATCATAACAGCCTCTTTTATTTACCACAGTGCACAGTACAATTTAAAACATTCTTCTGTGCTTTTACAGGGCAAAAAATGTTAGGAGCTCTGGCCTAGTATTCTGGAGTAATATGTCCCTGTTGAAGTTTAGGCAACGTCAAATTATTTGCTCCCTCCCACTTCTCCTTTTTTTGTTTTTTGAATCGGAGTCTCACTCTGTCACCCAGGCTGAAGTGCAGTGGCATGATCATGGCCACCCCAGTGTCGACCTGCTGGGTTCCTGCAATCCTTTCGCCTCAGCCTTCCAAGTAGCCGGAACCACAGATGCGTGCTACCACGCCCGGCTAATTTTTGATTTATTGTAGAGACGAGGTCTTGCCAACTTGTCTGGGCTGGTGTCGAACCCGTGGGCTCAGGCAATCCATCCACTTCGTCCTCTGAAAGTGTTGGGACTACAGGCTGAGCCACTGAGCCAAGACGCCACTTGTCTTTTAATCTGAAATGCACCTTTAAATCTATGCTCTAGAAATCTACTCTCTGGAAAATCTGGTGTGTGGAGAGAGAACTTGTGTAGGGCAAAGGAGGGAGTTGGTACTGTAGCCTAGGTGCGAGAGGAAAGAGGTGTGTGTATGTATGTGTGTGGTGGTGGTGGGAAGTGGTCTGATTCCAGATAGACTTTGAAGGTACTGCAGACAAGATCTGCAAGTTTGCATCTGAGTTTGAGTGTGGGATGAGAGACAGCCAAGGATGACTCCAAGAAGAGAGTTGCCATCCTGTATCGGGGAAATGCAGAGGAGTTGGTCTTAGTAGGCAGTTTATACGTAGTTACGGGGAGGTGTCTACAAGAGGCGGCTAATGACGTGTGACCTCGAGAGCTTGCTGACCCTCGCTATTTTCTTATTGAGGCTGGAAGCAAATTCATTAGCCAAGAGATGGGGAAGGAAGGGATAAGGCCTGATGAGAGTGGAGTAGTGTATAGCTATTTGGGACTGTGGGCGGGGCGAGCGGAGGGGTATTCGACCAAATTAAGAAATGGGAGAGCCACGTTTTGCCTTGCGAGATTTGTCCCTCGGGGCGCCCAGTAGCCGGCGTCGCGTTTCCTTGGAGACCGAGCCTGGAGGGGAAAGCGACGGTCCCGCCGGGAAGTCTGAGTGGCTCGGGCTGCCGCGCGACCTACGACGAGACAAGGTAGTGGCGACACCGGGCGGGCGCTCTAGGAGATCAGGGCCCACGGACTCGCTCCCTGTCTCCCATCGTCCCCCATGGCGCACGTCCTGCTGAAGTAAGTAAAACGGGGACGCATTCCAAGTGAGTGCGCATGCGTCTCCTTCCTCCCGCTTTTCCGACCCCGCCCTCTCCCCGCCCACCCCTC